CTCAAAATAGAACCATGAATCTTTCATGGATATTTATACAAATCCAATGGACAGGGTTAGTGTTCAAACCTCGGCTAAGTGTTTAGAGCTCGTGTAAGTGTTCTACTAAGACCGGGTAAATGATTGACATATCTATATCGTTATGTCTTGACATTGTCTGACTTCTGCGGGGGCGCTGGTCCTGTACGTTTTTAGGGTAGAACGACGCCATAGCATACGATACTAAGCTGTATGACCTGAGCACCTCCCATGTGCAGCTGAGTCCCGTTCATCGCGGCGAAATGTAACAGTCTTATTTCTTTCTCTTTATCTTATTTCATTCCTCCGGAGTTTTCCGGTATGTAACTAAACTCTTTTTTCGTTATTTTTTTTTTCATCTAAGTAACAATTAGATGGCAACTGGGAAATACGTTAATAATTAAACTGTAATTAAGACATTCTCTGTTTACTAACCATGTAACTGTATCAATGTGTATATTTTCAGCAAACTGGAATATTGTGTGTCTACTATTAAAGCGGGGGAGTCGTCACCTGCGCATGCGTCAGATGGCCATAGCGTGTCTTTGTTTACAACCAAGCGTCTACCCATGAGCCTTTGCGTTTTAGCGTGTGTTGTTATCGTTGTTCTATGTGCGTGTGCAGGTGACGTCCCTCACACTTTAAGTTAACAAACTACCGAAATATTTTTGTTCACGAACGTAGCGGTTCTCAGATGATAAAAGGAAAGCATGTCTCAGATTTCATACGCGCGTTGTCTTGTCTTTAAGTTTTTTTGTGAGCAATGAAGTCTTAACAATTATTAATAAGTTAATAAAAGAACACACATTCATCTATCTATTTCAAAAGAAAACAACATTCACCTATCTATTTCAACAGAAAACAATATTCACTGATCTATTTCAAAAGAAAACATTCACTTATCTATTTCAAAAGAAAACAGCATTCACTTATCTATTTATCTAAATATTAGAAACATCAATGTGTTTAAATTTGAAGTATATTCAGTTATAATTTTTTGAAGCGTTTATCTGAAAATTTCTCATTCTTTGAGAAATTATAAGACTAACATGTTCAGAACATTTTGTTAGATACGTTTACAGCAAAAGACGGGCAAGACTTGTTTTTACACTGTTATATGATAAAGCGGCCATTTGCCCATGATGTCTATACTGTTTGTGCATGCAAAACTATACTTAGTTGTGTATTTCCTTCCTTTTGTGTCTTTGTCACGAAAGCAACTTCAAGAAATTGTTTTAATTTTAATCTAGGGTATAAAGTAAGCAAGACACATGCTACTCTCAGACAACTTATGAAAGTTGGGGTTTATGTACATATTTGTGAGTGAGGATTCATTGTCATAATCTTGGGTGTTTGTGACAAGAGCGAGGTTAGGGTTTGCAAATGTGTTAGTAACAACCTGTAGTTCGTTTCCCGGCGTCCCATGCGAATGGAAAGTAGGACGCAGGTAACTAGTAATCGCCATAATGTTCCACTGAGCAGGGATTCCAACCCACATGACTAAGTGGGTAGTCACGTCACTAAGTGACGTAGTTAGAAAACATTCTAACATTCGTTTTCTGTAAACAAGTCTTCATTACGTCATGCCAATACATACTGCCTTCTTAGACTTACATATTTGAGATGTTTCTGGTATTTCTCGCTGTTTCTGTACAAATGTATAACAAAAGAAATAGTTTTATATTCGAGAGTAAAAGGTAACCCATGCTCCAGGGCACGAGCATAAGCGCTGACGGAAGGTTACCCCAAGTAACCAGAGGAAATACTTAGAGCAAGCTAATAAACGAGAACGTGATGGACCAATCAGAATACCGGATTCATTACTAGTTACTGGCCTCTTGTGGCTTGGTGCGCCATGACATTTGAGAGGAGCACATCCAACAACCTGTAGTTGCAAAGGTTATATGTCATTGGGTGATTGGAGGCGCTGTCCATGCCATGGCGTGCAACTATACCAGTGTTATAAATTCCCACAAATAATGTGTTAGATACCAGGACTACAAACTCTTAAAAGTTAATGGCCCTGATAAAAAGTTAGCAGACTTAAATAAATACAACAATGTGAATAATGTTGTGTTTCCTTGACAACAATACTTGTGACAGAAAACATAAATAGTAATACCAACACAAAAGTGGTTTGTAGTTCCATTGTATTAGTGATACAATATTGCTTGTACTTCCACAGTGATAGTTTAGATGTATTAAGAATGAAGTTGAAAGTTTCCAGGAAGTTACATTCACACTTATTATTTTCATAGAAGAAATGTTGTAAACAATGTGATAATTTTATTGAAAAATGTAGATTAAAAATTAGAAAGTGATTTCAAAGTAACTATTTTTTATATTTTTCGATATCACCAGAAAATTGTGTTTGTTCTTACATTCATATAGTGAAATCGGTGAATTTAACAAAACTCGCTATGATTGTTACGTTCAAATACATTACATCGGAAATCTCTGAAAAAAAAATAAAAAGATCTGATACATGTACTCGTTTGGTTGATCAGTTTTTGCAGAATTAAAACAAATATATATACTACTTTGCATATCAATAGATGATACTTTAGTTGCTGTCATTTTCCTTAAATGATATTGACGCCCAGGAAATTATATATGATAGGACAACATCTAAATATGTTCTAAGACCATTCCATATATGACTGCGTGATTTATTATTTATTTAAAATAAATGGGAATATTAAACTATTTTATGCATGTTCGATTTATGATACAGCTCTGAATCTTTTAATAGATTAATTAGATTAATTAGATATACTATAAAATATTAAAAGGTTCATTTTGATCAACATATGCCAAAAAAACAATCCTCAATCATTACCATCATTTCATCCTCAAATTCGGAATGAGTATAAAATATCTTGCTATTGAGCTGCTGGCTTATTTTCACTGCAGGGGTTTCACTTCTTGTTGCATCTTTATTTTTCTGGAAATTTAGAGATCATGGTGAACTTCAGATCACCTTAGTCGTACTATTTTAGCCTTCCTCTCTTGAGATGGGTACTACCAATAACAAACTTACCTTGCGCATATTTCTAGTATTCGTTCTTACAATTTCGGGCAAAGAGGGCACCGTAACTTGCAGTAAATTGCCTTAGATCGGTGTTCGTCTTTAAATCCATAGAAAGTCCCTAGGACAGCTTATAATCGTTGCTGTCAGGCGATATTTGAATCCACTTTTGGCTTACGTTTTTGGTTGTATTTAAAAAATAAAAACGATGTAATTTGCTTAACAGAGAACGTGAAACCACAGTTAACCTCACCTTGCAATCGTTCAGGTCACCTCCCACGCACATCCACCAGTAATGCCAATGAGAAACACTGTTAGTACGACTTCAAAACAATTCCATATCATAGATGCAAACATTTGTTTATAATAAAATATACAGGTTTACTAGATAGTTTATTAACTTACCATTTATCCATTTATGATAGCCATTTCTCAAGGCCGTAGCTAGCGGGGGGGAGGTTTTTTTTAAAAAAACAACTTAAAATAGAAAAGTTTCGAGCAACCACGTACTTGGTTTGTACACGATTTGAAATAAAACAAGGTAAGCCAGTTGCGTGTACTTTTTTTTATATTTATTACTGAGCGCGTTGACACTTTGACGCACAGTAGGACAAACGTTACCTTCAAGTATTTCTGATTGACACGTCAGCCATGTCAGCTTCGAAGAAACGTGGCACACAATTGTCAATGTTGAATTTTATAGTACAAGCAGTAATGTGAGGAATACCAGTATGATTGATGTATGACGTCGCCCTGACAGTATGTATGGCAGTAAATTCAACTGAACGAAAAATCGATCACACTCGCCACAATCTGATGATATAAATCATTTAAATTACGGCTTCTCTCTTTTTGGAATATGTGGTGACCCTGAAAATGGCCGTTTAGTTTGGTTGACATGAAGCAACTAATCAAGCTCGATCACTTCATTATGATCTTCTTGGTGGTTGAGATTCCACAGGGTCTGCAACGGCGGCGGCGGGAAGCAATTGACACAATTTCGTAAACAATGCGGAATATATTCAAAAATAGTGAATGTATATTATCTTTTCTCGGATCATGTCATCCAAGATCTTGAGACGCGATTTGCTGATCATCACTGTGATCTGATAGCTGCACAAGCAATTTTACCATGCAACATTGGTCAGCTCACATCAACCCATGTGACCTCAAATAACAACAAAGGGATGATTTTTTGAATACTGAAATTGAGAAGTGGATAACAAAGTTCAGTGATACACTAATTGAGATAATGATGCTGCTTCATCTCTTGCTGTTTGTGATGTCAACTATTTCCCAGCCATCTACAGAATTCTCACAATGTTCTTTACAACACCTATCGGAAGCGTGTCATGTGAACGTTCTTTTTCTGCACTTCGGCGGGTGAAGTTATGGACACGATGTAGCATGGCTCAAGATAGACTCAGTGCTATCGCCAAAGTTGTAAACATAAACTGTGTATTTTACAACTATCAATTGTATTAATCAGTCCTGTACATTACATTAATGTTACTCCTATATAAAGATAGAACAAAAGTGTTTTGTATATATTCATAAAATATATCAAGATGATTTTATTATTAAAAATAGATATATATAACCCCCCCCCCATAGCCATTAACTTATGGTGCAACTGTACACCTCTACGCCTTCATACATTTATACGCAATTAAAAAATGCATTTGCTGCCCCCCTAGTGAAAAAAAGCTAGCTACGGCCCTGTTTCTGAATAGCTAATGGCTAATCTATTCTGAAAACCATTATGTGCCCATCATTAGCATTACCGGTATCGGCTTGAAATGTGCAATTTCTACCGCTGGTGGCGCTATGTAAAAAAAAGCCAAGGCCAGTCTGTAAATGTCAAGAAGGTTGAGCTCATTAGCATACAATAAGTCTACCCCGCTGTTTGTTCTTCGCTGCAAACTCGCTTTCATTCATTGGGTTCTATGCCCTTTGGCCAGTGTTGCATATTCCGTCACAGAGCTCGGAGATGACAGTATGGAATCAATGCAAGAGACATTGTTACAGACTTGACTCCAGACGACGCTTATACTGCACTTCGATCATGGCTCGTCGGTAAAGCGATTTAATAATTATAGTTTAATTTAAAGTTCAAATCGTTTTATCTGACATCCGATTATGGGTATGTGCATAAAATGGTATTATTAGACCAATGGTTTATATTGATGAGATGATCTCTGATTATAGAGTCTTTAAATTAGTATGACGGTATTATGGTCCATATTTTATTTACTGTGAAGTTCACTCGTGTCCCGTTGACTCGTACTGCAAGTTGCTTCACATTTATTCACTGGACTCGGTCATGAGTGCCTAGTCCCAAATTAAGCGCGTGTACACATAGCTCATTTGATTACTATACACACAACTTAAAACTTAACTCATCTCCGGATCTAGCTGCCTTGTCAGTCGAATATCTGCGGGCCAGCCAGATACCGACGACAAAAAACGGCCCTCAGGGAGCTATGATTCCACAGCTACTTAGAATCGCGCTTATGTGTTACCCGGTACGTCACAAAGCCCCCCTGGTTAGATACATATGCGACGAACCTGGGACGAATCATTCAAGGAACACGTATATAACAGATAGGATCGAGCATTTGAAATCGCGGTGGGTCGCCGGAAGATTTTTTGACAACAAATTTTGCCAAAAAATTGCATGCAGGAATATATACTGGAACATTCAGAAAATGTACAGATCATCAGATTAACACCGCAAAAATAGCCACCCCCGTGATTTCAAATGTCTCAACCCTATGGAGAATCTGGATCTTAACCTCCACGTCCGAAATGAAGAGGGTGAAAGACCTCTAGTGCGGGTTTCAACTCTAGATCTATAGCACGTGTACGACACATGCTTAAAACTATGATGCTTAGTTCAATAATAATAGCATATCTTTTGTACCTTGGACCAGTGAACTAAGTTCAACTTCTTCTGTTCCTTTGTTTTATGAAAGCAGTGTATTTGTCTTTTTTTTTCAAATATTAATTATCTCAAGACCATTGATGTTGAATTTCAAAATAATTAGTTTTTTTAGGGATTTAGAAAAAAAAAAATTTGTTTTTGCAATTTTTTTATCTTATGATGTCTGTCATTGCTCATGAGTAATCATAATGTTGACCCTGGATATTAGTATTAAAGTATGAGCAAGGAGAGTGTTTAACAACTTTGATCAAATGATATAATTAATTTGAAATTAATTTTCGCTGAAATAATAATTCAGTGAAAATAAAATCCAGCGAATATACCTTTTTTCTATATTTTACATTCAACTCGTCAGAAATCAGTGAAAATAAATTCCATATAAAACACCCAAAAAGTCTTTTCAGCGAGAATTAATTCCAGCTAAAAGTATTTTACAGTATGTGAATTGTCCTTATTAAACTCTCAGAGCCACCAGTTCTAATATTGTAACAACAAAAACTGTTTGTGTGGCTATAGTTTTCTTTGTGGCTATAACAATGAATTATTTTTTAGTGGCTGATACCAGGGGCAAATATATGATAAATGTACCAATGTCTAACAATGCAATAGTGAACTTTACAGTACTAGGTGTAAATTGATGTAGCTATATAATTCCTTTATTTTTATCTTATTTATAATGTTATTCAGCTGGAAATCTCTCATCGTGCTGTGCTGCCTGTTAGCGTCAACTGTATTCATACTATGGGAAACGTCACATGTACGGTCACCGAGGCACAGCATGAAAGCCATGCACGAGCCTCAAGTTTACAGGTAATATCCTAAACTTCATTGTTCTATGTAAAGTGATGAAACTATTGTATGTCAATATCGTCCATTATAAGAACTTGCCATACAAACTTTTTAAATTACCTATCGTAATTACTTTGTGCATATAAACATCTTTTACCACCTTTCGCAAAAAGAAAAAAAAAAACATACATAATTTTTTTTCATAAAAAATAATTTTGCCCAAATGTCCTCACGAATAGAAAATATTTTCATATTTGGTTCAAAATTTTTTAAAAAATGGACTGTTTACAGGAGTCATTTTTACATTTTACTTTAAGAAGCATACAAAGTGGGAATTCAGCTTTGAAGACAAAACAATGAGACAAAGCATATATAGACATACTGTAGACAACATTTATAAATAGTTTGTACATTCATTGTGTAGAGAAGTATTACCATACAATGGTGGCCTAATAAACATGGTGACTTACTTCTTTTTTGTGTGATTTACATACCTATATCAATGTATAAACACTGTTTCTTATAAATCTTAAATTGTTTTCATTTAACATTGTTATATAAAAGATATGAAATCATATTCTAACAAATGATTATTAAATATTTAATAATTATCAATATTTCATATTCCTGAATCATTATAATATGTTTTTAAAAATTGAAATTTTAAATATCTTATTATATGATTTTATAATACTGTATGCGGTCCGTTATTGAAATGCTGCATTCTCATTGGCTGAGCAGTACCATGTGCAGTGGTTTTATCAGATATCTGATATCTCGGCAGTGATTGAGGTCAATGGACGAACATTCAAACAAAACTGTGCATGATTCAGCAATATTCCATAATTTTCCGAAATTTGTATGGATCAACTAACTACAAACCTTTTGGGTTAAGAAATCCTGTTCGTTTTAATCTTGAATGAAATGTACCTACAGTATGTGCGTATGTTCGCATATTGTTTGCTCGTGAACTTCTATATCTATCTGAAACACAAGTGTCCACACTGTGACGATATTGTCTAAATACTTTTTCTCAAGCAACCACTGCATGTATATTCAATTTCATATTCAGTCCATTGTATTAAAATAGAAATAAAGAGCTCTATACTGCCCATGTTTGTGTTAGCAAGGCTTAATAATGGGCTTGACCACGTCTTGTTCATTATTGTACACATCCCCGGCCTTGCCCTGTTATCAGACAAAAATCATTAGTACGTTGTCCTTTAAACATCAAATACCAATTTGAACTTTGACCTGCGTGACCTTTCTCTCCATGTTCTTCTAGAAGATTCCTAAGAATATCAACTTTAAGAAAATACTGATCAGAATTTAGTCAAATTATTATCGATTATTAGTTATCAAACCTAGCAAATGTTTGTTTTTTTCAAGTAAGGAGTTCCGTGATTGGTTTGATGGTTAGGTGTTGAGGTGAGATAACCAATCATAGGCAATATCACGTCTAATCCATTTACACTGAACAACCACAGAGATTCTGTTGTCAAGATTGCTCTGGATGTAGTGAGATTAGAAAAACTGATTACTTAATTTGTTTAAAAATATTGTTGAGTACTATTTTTCTGATTACTGGTAGTCTAGACATTTTTATGTTATATTAGTTTGTGTAAATATGTCGAATTGTTGACAGGTAATTGACAATATATTTTGCAAATGTTGATCAAAATCTGTTCCAAATGGGTAATTATGCTAATTTTTTGGAAAATTAACAAACAAATTATAGAAATATCATTAAAATTTTGAAAAATGTTGAATTAAATTTTTAGGGAGGAAATATTGTGGTTTTTTAATGTTTGATCTCTGCTGATATAGGTGTGGAATATATTTGTTATATATGCCCCTTGAAATCTTCTGTTTCTACTGATTTGACAGCAATGTCATTGAACTCTGATGATTAATTTCTTCTAACCAGTACATATCTGGTGCTATTGATGATTAATAGTTGCCATTATTCATAATGTCTTTGTGAAGATGTCAATGTTGTTTTTACATGTTTATGAAATATTGATATTTACTAGATACAGGGCACTGATTATTCTGTTTACTGTGTTTAAGCGCATAATTTATGTTTTTGTTTTTTTCTTGCTTGAAACAAAAAATAAGCTGGATTTTGATGTTATTTTCATGTATGTAAATGATGTTTCATCAGTTAACTTAGATTATGGTAGTTTATTATTCTTTTTTTTCATCTTGACTTTTTGAATATACCGGTACTGTAAAACCATTTTGCTTCACTGGCATTTAATTTCACTATTTTATAAATTCTATTGTTATTTTATATGTTCATGTGGGTTTAATTTAACAGATTTTACTTACCAACAGAAATAGCAAAATTAAAAACGAGTGAATAATTAATAATTTACATTATAAAGTGTATCGGTAGCAATTGATAGATTAATGTATGCAATGTAAA